GACTATAGCCTAGACTATAGACTATAGACTAGACTATAGAACTAGACTATAGACTAGACTATAGACTAGACTATAGACTAGACTATAGACTAGACTATAGACTAGACTATAGACTAGACTATAGCCTAGACTAATAGACTAGACTAAGACTAGACTAGGACTAGGACTATAGACTAGACTATTAGACTAGACTAGACTATAGACTAGACTATAGGACTAGACTATAGACTAGACTATGACTAGACTATAGACAGACTAGACTATAGACTAATGACTATAGACTAGGACTATCAGACTTATAGACTATAGACTAGACTATAGACGTAGACTATAGACTAGACTATAGACTAGACTATAGACTAGACTATAGACTAGACTATAGACTAGACTATAGACTAGACTATAGACTAGACTATAGACTAGACTATAGACTAGACTATAGACTAGACTATAGACTAGACTATAGACTAGACTATAGACTAGACTATAGACTAGACTATAGACTAGACTATAGACTAGACTATAGACTAGACTATAGACTAGACTATAGACTAGACTATAGACTAGACTATAGACCTAGACTATAGACTAGACTATAGACTAGACTATAGACTAGACTATAGACTAGACTATAGACTAGACTATAGACTAGACTATAGACTAGACTATAGACTAGACTATAGACTAGACTATAGACTAGACTATAGACTAGACTATAGACTAGACTATAGACTAGACTATAGACTAGACTATAGACTAGACTATAGACTAGACTATAGACTAGACTATAGACTAGACTATAGACTAGACTATAGACTAGACTATAGACTAGACTATAGACTAGACTATAGACTAGACTATAGACTACACTATAATTTAATTTTTTTACTTAAAATATGATCTTGTTTGTATAAATTTTGTTTTGTAAAAAGTATAAATTTTTAGTTTTTTTTAGCCGATATTGGATTTTACAAAAATCAACTCCAACTAAATACCTGCCAAAAAAAATACAACTCTGACAACTTTGTCCAGCAACCAATGATGGCGCAGAGAGGTTGGGTTGGTCGATTTTTCCTTTTTTGTTCATGCTAAGAAACACTCACAAACAAAAGAAAAAAAGCTAAAGGAATTTTCTCGATTTCAAGGTCGTTTAAGGCAAAAACAATAAAAAAGACACTACAGAATGTGGTAACAAGACAAGGACAGTAACTACGTCAAAAAACAAAACTCACTTGTACATACAAAAAAATAAAAGATTAATAACTAAATATTAAACTTACCTCTATTTAACTAAATAACGATGAATAAATTTTCTTTAAATTATGTAAATTTAATAAAATTCGTTGTTTTTTAGAAGTAAGAAAAGCACTAAATTTAATTTAATATTTTTTATTAAAACACGAGGAATATTTATTTTGTTTTGTTGTTTGTTGAAATGAAGAAAAAAACTTGTTTTTTTTGTATAGAACTTTTTATTAGTATTATTATTTTTTTATATGTATTTCTTTTGTTATTCTTTTTAAAATTTTTTATTTACTCAATTTAATACCAATTAAACACGACCGACCGACCACAAGCACAATTTATTAAGTGTAAACAAATGATAACAAAAAGAGGGTGTTGAGAGGCGAGTTTAGGAATTTATTTTACTTAACGAAAAAAAAGAGCGGGAGGTTTTGCAATTTTATGTTATTTAATTAAATTTTATTTAATTTAGTTTTAAAAACATTAATTTTAGGGTTTTTAGTTAATGTTTTTATATAATTTTCTCTAATAATTTTAATATTTGTGTTTGATTTATTTATTTTCACCTTGTGGGGTTTAACAGAATGATAATATTGTTGTTTTAATAGAGGGGAGCTTTTTTCACCTCAATTGAGAGTGGTGTATAAAATTATTGTTTTCCCCAAAGTGAACAACGTAAGCGCACGTTTTTTTATCTTGAATTTATTTTGTTGTTGTTTTGTTTTTTTTTTTTTTTTTTTCTTTCACATTCAACTCACTCTCATTTATACTATGTTTAGTGAGTGGTGAATTTGTTGTTATGCTTTTTTTCACTTAATTCAACAAAAACTTTTTTAATCAATGACTTTTCTACAACAAATATCAATTATTCACTATGAATTTCCGCAAACAATATTTTTATTATTCTATATACAATTTCCTTTTAATTGCAAACACGTTTTCTTTGCACTTTTTTTCTTCACAAATTGCACTTAGTTGTAAATTTTTATAAATGTCACTTTCGCACATAAACGCGTTACTACTCGACGACGTCATTAAAAATTGCCCACGAACAAATTCTAATTGATATAACCCGTCGCCTTTTAAACTTAATGCATTTGATTATTTTTTTAACTGCTTTAGTTAAATCATTGAAACGTATTCTTCATCCGTATACACGTTTTGAAAATAATAACAATATTTTAAAAACAAAAGTAACAACAACTTAAGAAGTATTAAATCCACAAGTTTAATATTCTTATTAGTGGGAAAACGTACGAGGTGTAACAGATACCCCAACAAACACCTTCGTCTTTTGCAAAGTTTGACAAACGACTAGATTGGAAATATTTTCTTAATTTACGCTATAGCAAAATAAAATTGTATTATTTCGTTGGATTCATGTGAGCGTGTGTGTGTGTTTCGTATACAAAAAAAGTCTAGTTTAATAAACGAGGAATCGTCAACAATCAACCTCAAACAACAACAACTACAATCACAATTCAAGTTTTTATTTTTTTTCTTTACTGTCATTGCTGCTGTTGTTGTTGTTTCTTCTTCTCCAACCGTTGTCTTTCTTTTGTTCTTTTCTTTTGCTTTTTGTTCATCGTCTTCTCGCTACTCATTTGTGTTTAATTGAAAAAAGGAATGTTGACAAAAAAAGTTACAACAAAAGTTTAGGTTCTCGTTTGCTAAATGTTTTCCTTAAATATGTATGTTGTATTTGCCTAAAAAAGGGGGGATTATTTCGTAGCTGTATGGGGTTATTATCAGAAATAGATATTGGCAACAACAAAAGCGGTGGGAAAATGGCAAATCTTGTTTTTTATTTTATTTTAATGGTGAATTTCATAACATATGGTGGCTGGCGTTGCCTGATGGCAAAGATTTATTTAAATTTGTTTGTGTTTTTTAACACACAATGAAGTTTTGAAAAAAACAAAAATTAATGTTTTATTCTGTATATAATTTTAGCAGTATCGTTTTTGGAAACTGTTTATGTTTGAATATCTTGTTAATACAATTTCTCGGCTAAAATATTTTTAATATTAGAAAAGTGGGAAAACTGTCTTGCTCTATATTAAACTATAGCTAGACTATATTCTAATCAATAGACTAAACTTAAATGTTGACTTAACTATTATAGGTTTTACTTTAAAATATATTGTAGATTATAGACTAAACTACAGTCTAGAATGTGCTATGAACTATATAGTTATAGTCTAAGCTATAAAACAGTAGTATAAACTAGTCTAGATTATTGACTAAACTGTAGACTAAACATTAGATAAAACTACATAGGTATAGTCAAAACTTTAGACTTAACTATAGTCCAAACTATATTATGTACTAAGTTGAAGTCATTTGTTTGATTGTTTTCTTGTTCATAGAAATTTTGCCCGAAGCTGTCAAACTTCATATAAAAAAAAATTCTCTTTTAAAATCGACGCTGTCAAACTCCATATACATATGTACATAATATGTATAAACATTTTATGAATCCGCCGCAAAATGAAATGACACCTTACAATTTATTCGCATTGCTAGAGTCTAACAATAATCTGAACTAGGGTTCTATAAATCGACTTTCGAATAATCGACTTTTTGTCGAAAAAAGTCGAAGTCGACTATTTTGTTCCAAAAAAGTCGATAACTCGACTATCGTCTATGAAAAAAGTCGAAAAGTCGACTTTGTAAATAAAAGTCGAAAAAAGTCGAAAAGTCCAAAAATCGGAAAGTCGAAAAAAGTCGAAAAGTCGAAAAAAGTTGAAAAGTCGAAAAAAGTCGATAAGTCGAAAAAAGTCGAAAAGTCGGAAAAAGTCGCAAAGTCGGAAAAAGTCGAAAAGTCGAAAAGAGTCGAAAATTCGAAAAGAGTCGAAAATTTTAAAAAAGTGGAAAAGAGGTCAAAAACTCTAAAATAGTCGGAAAAACTCGAAAAAATGTAAAAAAATAGTCGAAAATAGTCGAAATAAATCGAAAATAGTCAAAAAGTCGTAAAAAATCAAAAAGTCGAAAAGTCGGAAAAAGTCGGAAAAAGTCGAAAAAAGTCGAAAAGTCGAAAAAAGTCGAAAAGTCGAAAAAAGTCGGAAAAAGTCGAAAAGTCGGAAAAAGTCGACCATTTATAAAATACTAAAAGTCGAAAAGTCTAAAAGTCGACTTTTAAATAAATGAAAAAGGTCGAAAAGTCGAAAAATCGACTTTTCATAAAATGGAAAAAGTCGAAAGGTCGACTTTTAACTAAATGCAAAAAGTCGACTTTTCGTTTCAACTATAGAACCTAATCTGAACTACAGACTAAAACATGGCGAAACTAATAAGGTGAAGTCATTTCAACAGCTGATTGTTTTTTTGACCATGGAAATTTAGCCAGAAGTTGTCAAACTCAATATAAAAAAAATTCTCTCTCAAACCCGACGCTGTCAAACTACATATATAAAAAATTTCATGAATTCGCCGCAAAATGAAATGACTTCACCTTATAGTCTATTCGCCTTGGACTAAAATATTAACTAGACTGTAGTCTAATCAATGGACTAAACTTATATACTAACTATAATCAATACATATTATGTGCATAAATGGCACAGATGTAAGGAAAATATGTACATAAAAGCGGATTTATGGCTTGAATTTATATCTCCATACCTCGTCTGAAAGAATTATTCGAGATTTTTTCTCGAAGATAGATAAATTGATTTCAACAAACACACCGTTAGAACGATTTCCCTATCTATATATATCCTACTGACAAAGGTAAAGGGTCTCATTATAAATAATTGAAAACATAATTTATTCATTTATATAAAAAAGTATGTACTTTAATTATCATTAAAAAAGACATAATTCACAACATGGGTAAATTGGCCTTTAATGCACTGAATTCCTTACGATCTAAAGGTTTTATATTTGTACCCGAATACGGTGAGAAATGCTCCAGATCACGATGTTTATTAACTAAAATTTTTTGATCCGATTGTAAAATTTTTATTTCACGTTCAATTTGTGTTTGATCTAGGACAAAGAAAGAGTATTAATAGTTTAAAAAAACTATTCCAAGTTAATTTTATACCTTTTTTCAATAGTTCCAAAGCTTTTTGACGATCCAATTTCACCAGCATACTGCCAATAGTAGTCCATACTTTTTTCTCTTGTTGTTCGGGATTTTTCTCTAGCTCACGTATAGCTTCACGATTTTGCTGGCGTCTGCGGTCTAGATTTATTAATTCTTGTTTATTGACTAGAACCTGATCGGCCACTTCTTCGGTGGATTTTAAAATTTCCATACATTTTTGTTCGGATGTTTTGGACATGTTTAAAGTTTTTCTATTACTATTTACTAAAACAGTTGGGGAAGAGATTAAGATTTTTGTTTTTTAAAAAGAAGCATTAAAAGTTTAGTTTTGAAAAACAGGCCAGCAAAAGCTTATACTTTCCCTCTTGGTGGGTCTTATTTAGTTCAGTTCATTTCTTAAACGTCTATCACGTTTCCATTCTCTGACTTTTTCACGTCTAATATCATTACGATTTCTAGGTTGTTTCCTATAGTAATCTGAGTTGTGCCTTTGTACAGCTTTAAGATCGTAGGCCTCAAAATGTGTGACACGAGCTGACTCCTGCTCTATGCCTAAACCTGTGCGCTGTTTTCGTATAACCGTTTTAACCGGATATAAACGGCCGGCTTGTGAGGGTCCCAAACCGCTTTCTTTATCCCAGCCCTGTTTAACCATCAACTGTAAACCCTTATTGCGTGCTGGTATATTAAACTTTTGCAATTTGTTCAGGGGCAAATTTGATTTCATATTAAACTGGTGTATGGTAGAAGTTTGATGTTTAACTTGAGAAGTTTCCTTAAAATTTTGTTTACAAATTTCACAGAAAAATGGTTCTATAGTTTCTATTTTAGCTAATTCACAATTTTTATTTATTTCTTCGTTTTCTTCCTTTTCCAATAGTTCTATTATCTTGTGGTAGCCTTTTTTATAAGCCAAATCTTTGGCTGTCTTCCCGGATTTATCTTTTATATTTCTGTCGACACCTAAACTTAATAAATATTTCACTGCTTCATAGGATCCCTCACAACTGGCCATCATTAGAGCTGTCCAACCATAGTTATCACATGCATTTATATTTTTTCCTTTAAATTCCATTTTTTTCAATTCCTCCACTTTATTTTCCAAAGCAAAGCGAAAATATTTTCTAACCTCAAAGGGAGTTTTCGATGGATTTGGTTTGGTTGGCTGAGGAGGGCTTTTCACTTGATTGGTATTTAAATCTTTTCTAGTTTGATTATTTGTTTTTTCAGTTTTTACTAGTTCCTGATAAAACTCTTTTATATCATCACCATCAATGCCAGTAACTTCATATTTTTGCTGTGAGCTGTTGAGCGTACCTTGTTGTTGTCCATGACTACCTTCTTTGATGAAACGTTTTAGTGGAATATGTACTGTAGCTAAAGCACGCCAATTGGGATGCAATTGCTCGCCTGTTTCTTCCATTATTTTAGGAAAATTTACCAATTTTACTTAAAATTTTCTAAATAATAGCAGAGAAAAAATGAAAACGTACATTTTTGTTTATGCAGAAAGAGATTTAAAGAAGATATTAGTCAAGGCGGATTATTGTCTGAATTTTGACACATCAAAGTGCAAGCAAATGCTTTTTATATGTAAAATTTGATATATCAGCGTTCGAAGTCGTTAAACAATTGGGCAGCCATAACCATTTCTGCAAATACTCAACAGCTGTCTTTTGTTATTTTAGTACAGCGGATGATTTTAATACAGGGGTGTATTATGACAGCTGTCTTTGCTGTCACTTCAGTAAATTTGCCTAGTTTCAACCTAACCTTCCTTTTTTTATTAACATCAACACATCAACTTGTTAAACAAAGTATTCTTTCATCTTTTTAATCAAAAAATGGATGGTATAAATCTTTTTAATCAATTTGTGGCTTTACACAAGCCCCAGTTGTTAGCCTCCGGAGTGCCACAACATTTCTGGTCGACAATTTATCATAAAATAACCACCGAAACATTTGATGCTGGTGAGGCCCTACAGTTGATGTTAATCGAATATGATGAAGAGGAAGATAGACATATTAGTGCGGAGGAGAAAGAGACGCGGCCGGTATTTGCTCTATCAGTAGCCTCTGATGCAGGACTACAAGCTAAAGATCCTAATAACATTTACCTGGTAGATCACTGCTGGACATTTCGTTTGAATATGGCCCGTCAACAGCTGGAAGAATATGAGCATTTGTGCAATAGACTGTGTGCCATAACGGGTGTAGATTTGGAGGATAATGATCGTGTGGATAAGGTAATGAGAAAAATGTGGAAATATTGTCAGGCCTATACGCTGGCCAGCGATCAATTGTCCGACGAGGAGAGACAGCCTATTTGGTATGTTATGGATGAGGTGGGTTCAGCAGTGGGACACTCGGATGAGCCCAATTTCCGTCTGGTACCATTTTTACATTTAAATAGCCAAACCACCTACAGTCTGTTGTTTCCCATAAAAGACGTTGAATGTGGTGATTTGGTGTCTCGTGATTATGTCGAGTATGTCAGCAAAGATGCTGAGGAAAGAAAGGCCTTACTACTGCCCTGGTCGCATGTAGACCTCACCAAGGAAAGCTTTTTGCAATATGAACCTTCAGCTGAGTATTTTAGCTCTGGTCATATACCGGAAACCTTTGCCAGCGAGGATGAAATGCAAGAACCTCAATTCGATCGTAATGAACCTTTAAAAGTTTTCACCGAATACGAAATGGTGGAACAGCATTTAACTTCGCCCTGTTTTACACTCGTAGATAATCCTGAGTCTGCCGATATTCTTTGGCTAACCACACATTACAAAAAATTCGCTGAATTGTCGCGTGAAACACCCAACAAGTTTATTAATCAATTTCCCTTGGAGTATATCATAACTATTAAAGATTTACTTAGCATAACCTGTAGAAGAGCTGCTGTGGAACACCATAATAAGGAAACATTGGAAACTTATCCTCGTTGGTTGCCTGCCACTTACAATTTAAAGACCGAAGTTTTGCAATTCGCTTCTTATTATCAAAATCGTGCCGCCAAAGGTTTGGACAATCATTGGATTATTAAACCCTGGAATTTGGCTCGTGGCTTGGATACCCATATCACCGATAACTTTAATCAAATTGTGCGTTTACCCTCTACGGGACCAAAGATTGCCCAAAAATACATAGAAAATCCTGTACTCTTCTATCGTTCCGCTCTGGATGCTCAAGTTAAATTTGATATACGCTATGTTATACTCCTAAAAAGTGTTCGTCCTCTAGAGGCCTATATACATCGTAAATTCTATTTACGTTTCTCCAATAAACCATTTTCACTCGACCATTTTGATGATTATGAGAAACATTTCACGGTCATGAACTATCAGGAGGATGCCGAATTACATCATGTTAAATGTGAAGACTTTTTAGATTTCTGGCAGGAACAATATCCTCAGAACGGCTGGACCGACATCGAAGACCAGATATGTTGCATGCTGTATGAAATGCTAGAATGTGCCACTAAAGGTTCAGCTCCCAGTGCTATACAACCTTGTTTACAGTCGCGCGCTCTATATGCCGCTGATATAATGTTGGCTTGGGAGTCGAATAGTGATAAAAATGTTCCTCACATTCAGCCAAAACTTTTAGAAGTCAATTGGACCCCGGATTGCAAGAGAGCTTGTGATTATTATCCCGAATTTTACAATGATATTTTCAAGTTATTATTTTTGAATGAAGCGAATGATGAAGTTTTCCGTTTATTGAACGGAAGTAATTAAAATTGTATTATAATCTACTATTGCTGCTATATTTTATTGATATTTAAGTTTTGTGTTGTACTATTTTATATTGCTATTATTACAAGTATAATGGGAATTATATCGCAATAAAGTTTGGTAGTCTTAAAAGCTTTAATAAAACATTATTAATGGAAATTACTTTATCTGTTTTAATCTCGGTTATCTTCTAATTGAGGCTTAGCGTTTAGTTGTCCAATATTTTCTCACTTATCGATTACGAAAAAATATTCGTTTGAGAAGTTCTGCCTATATGTCTATCTATCTATCTATCTATCTATCTATCTATCTATCTATCTATCTATCTATCTATCTATCTATCTATCTATCTATCTATCTATCTATCTATCTATTATATCTATCTATCTATATATCTATCTATCTACCTATTATCTATCTATCTATCTATCTATCTATCTATCTATCTATCTATCTATCTATCTATCTATCTATCTATCTATCTATCTATCTATCTATCTATCTATCTATCTATCTATCTATCTATCTATCTATCTATCTATCTATCTATCTATCTATCTATCTATCTATCTATCTATCTATCTATCTATCTATCTATCTATCTATCTATCTATCTATCTATCTATCTATCTATCTATCTATCTATCTATCTATCTATCTATCTATCTATCTATCTATCTATCTATCTATCTATCTATCTATCTATCTATCTATCTATCTATCTATCTATCTATCTATCTATCTATCTATCTATCTATTATCTATCTATCTATCTATCTATCTATCTATCTATCTATCTATCTATCTATCTATCTATCTATCTATCTATCTATCTATCTATCTATCTATCTATCTATCTATCTATCTATCTATCTATCTATCTAAATCTATCTATCTATCTATCTATCTATCTATCTATCTATCTATCTATCTATCTATCTATCTATCTATCTATCTATCTATCTATCTATCTATCTATCTATCTATCTATCTATCTATCTATCTATCTATCTATCTATCTATCTATCTATCTATCTATCTATCTATCTATCTATCTATCTATCTATCTATCTATCTATCTATCTATCTATCTATCTATCTATCTATCTATCTATCTATCTATCTATCTATCTATCTATCTATCTATCTATCTATCTATCTATCTATCTATCTATCTATCTATCTATCTATCTATCTATCTATCTATCTATCTATCTATCTATCTATCTATCTATCTATCTATCTATCTATCTATCTATCTATCTATCTATCTATCTATCTATCTATCTATCTATCTATCTATCTATCTATCTATCTATCTATTCTATTATCTATCTATCTATCTATCTATCTATCTATCTATCTATCTATCTATCTATCTATCTATCTATCTATCTATCTATCTATCTATCTATCTATCTATCTATCTATCTATCTATCTATCTATCTATCTATCTATCTATCATCTATCTATCTATCTATCTATCTATCTATCTATCTATCTATCTATCTATCTGTCTATCTATCTATATCTATCTATCTATCGATCTATCTAAATAAATTTTAAAATTGTTACAATACTTTAAATCGTACAGTCTGGCAACTGTGTAAACAACAGCAATAGGCAAAATTGACATGACAATTAAATTGCAACACTTTACAACACTACAGTGTCTAGAGTCAATGAAAAGAAATTTACGATTGAGAAAATTATCGTGGAAAACTTATTAATTTTTAAATAAAATATCTACCTAAAAATCAATAAAATTGTGTGAAAGTTGTAGAAAAACTTCGAAATAATAGTTTGGACTTAAAGATTTATGAAATTAAATGTGTTTCTGGTGTAAAAAAATCAATTAAAAAATGTGCTTTGTGGGGCAAGACAAAGTAAAGCCAAGAAATTAAGTTTTTTCACCAATATGAATGAATACATTCGGAGAATTGAGTAATTTGTTGTTGTTGTTGCTTTTTTGTTGAAGTTGATGAAATAAATGTAATATGAGAAGAAGAAGAACAAATGAGTGCTTTATAAAAATCATCTGTTAGAAGTAAAAGACAAAAACAAAACAGAATAAAGGAAAGAAATAAAACAGACAATACATATTAATCATGATATTAATTGTGCATTTTGGGGTTTAAATGAGAAGAAAAAAAGAAAATGTCAAATCAAACTTAATAGTTGTTGTATTAAATTTATAATAGTATAAAAGAATAGAGGAAATAAATAATAGTCAAATATGAATGGCAAGAATACGACGACAAGCAAAAAGATAAAAGGGCCTGCTTTTGAAAAAAAGAATATATAGACACTTTTTTTTTTAAGTTAAGTCAATTTAAAAAATAAATTTTGTTAAAAAAAGTATTGAAGAAATACTTCTACAAATTTCAACTCCTATATGGATTTTTTGGATAGTGTAATGGAGTTATTGAACAGCACTCCTCCGCCACCGAACAATGTTATTAATCATACGCTAAGAAACAACCTGGACTTACCGCTCGTGCCCAGCACTGCCGACATGGAACCTAATAATTTAAGCCAAACGGCTGGCAGCGTAGTAACCGCTGCAGATACTGCGGCCGAAACAGCACCGGCAACACAGACATTTGTCGAGCGAAATTTGGAATTAAAATTACCCATTTTATCCTCAAGTAGCAGTGATAGTGAGTCCGAAGAAGCCACAAATCCTACAGCAGGCACTTCGGCTGTAGGCGAAGGTGAGCGTGCCGCCTCTCCACCGCCCAATTGTGCCATTTGTTTGTGTCGTTGTAAAAACAAATGTTTCACCGACTCATGCATGCATCAGTTTTGCTTTAAGTGTTTGTGTGAATGGAGTAAAGTGAAGCCGGAATGTCCACTATGTAAACAAACCTTTAAATCCATTATACATAATGTTAAATCCATTGATCAATTTGAGGAGTATCATGTCCAGCCACCTACAGTTCAGATTGCTCATCCACCATTTGAAATGGATTTTCAGGATATGCGTATATTTGGTGTAGTTCATCCAGGGTAAGTTTATTATAATATGTATACATACCTTATACCAAATATTTCAACAGATGACTCAGCTGGTGTAGGGTATTATATGGTTGGATATATCCAACTGTATCTTCGTACTTGTATTTAAAATAATGTAATTATTCAACTTATCTATTCTACTTTAAGGCATAATCGCAACGCTTGGAATGATTCCACTCACCGTCCCTTTTTCTATGGTGATTTCTCTACTACATCACCTTATTCATCGGCTGGTGGCGCTACATCGACTGGCAGCGGTTCACTTCCGACCGCAAGTGGCAGCAGCAGTAATCGTTCCTTTGCCCAGTCTATACGTGGTTTACGCAATCAATATGTTTATCGTGGCGAACTATTGGACTTGTATCGTCAAGAATATCCCGGAGCTATTGCTAATAGTGGCACATTAAGCCAATTATGGCGTCGTTATGTTTATGATCGTAGATTGTATGCCATGCCTGTGGCTGATATTACAGGACGTTTTCGCGAAAGCAGTGCACGTTTTTATAGGTGAGTGTTTTAATGCTTGGTTTTTATTTAAAAAATATTTTTCAAATCAAAATTCATTGTTGTTGTACTTTAAAACTCAATAAATAATCGCTTAACCACACACTCGTCTGGTGAAGTGAATTGTATGATAAAAATTGCACAATTTTGTTACGTTTAAAAACGTTTAATTTTAGTAGTTTTATATACAATCAGACTTGCCATGTTACGGCTAGGGTTCTATAAATAGTCAATGGGCAAGCCTATGGACTAGTCAATGGACCAGTCTATAGACTAGTCAATGGACCAGTCTATAGACTAGTCAATGGAACATTCTGTGGACTAGTCAATGCACCAGTTTATGGACTATTTCGTGGACTAGTCAATAGATTATATATCTACTTATCTGCGGCATAGTCTATGGAATTGTATATGGCCTAGTATATGAACTAGTCTATAGACTAGTCAATGGTCTAGTCTATATATCTATATACGACTAATAAACCTTATTTAATACAAATTAAACCTTATTTAATACAAATTTCTATTCTATTAACAGAGATAATCCATCACAAATTCATCGTTTAATGCCGTGGATAAATCGTGATATTGTGTGTTTATTACGACAGACTCAACATGATGTTACCACCGTCTTGGAATCGATTAATTCGGCACTAACCTTAATGAATATACTATCGCCGGCCTTTCGTCGTCGCCTGCAGCCATTTTTGGGTACAAAAACTGCACATTTCATACACGAACTCAATAATTTTGCACGTTCACCTTACGACATGATTGGCTACGATCGTGCCGTACAATATTCACCGCAATCGAACGGTGAGGAAATTGTTATAGAATTTACATCATCGGATGAATCAACCGATAATGAACAGATCGATGTGGCCGGTGATAATGGTGCTGGTGGCAACAACAACAATAATACCTCGTCACGTTCACGTTCGGCGGCAAATGCTTCGACGATAAATGGTGGGATATTTGAATATGATGTTGTTGGATCACAACATAGAGTTTTTAATTCATATTTCAACCCTTTTACAGCTATTAATCTGACCATACACAATCGTCTGACATCGGGTTCGGCGAATGCGACCGGCAATCGTGTAAATGGTGCGAACAACGGCAGTGGCCTAAGTGATATACAAGATGGTGTTAGTTTGGTCATTGATTTGAGGGGCGAATCAGATAATAATGAAACCACATCTACCGCCCAAGCGACCACTAATTCTTCGAACTATCAAAATGGCCAGAATACCGGCACGAGTGAGGGTGAGATGATAATGTCTGGTCCACCGCCAACAGTATCGGAAAATATAGAATTAACTTCGGGTAGCAGCGATGAGTGTGAGTTTATTTTGGAACGTAAACCACCTCACTTACGCACACCGGAAATGGTTAGTTTAGACTCAGCTTCAGATTCGGATGTAGTCTTTGTCGATGAGTCGAAACCTTTAAATAAAACATCATTTAGTTCGAGTGAAGGAGAGCCAGACGATTGCCCAAGTTTACCTAAGCACCATACTCGTCATAACAATAAAATAGCTGCTTTAGTTGAGGCTAAAAAGCGCAATCATTCGGCAAATTTGGTTAAAAGCGAACAGCAGGATTCACAGACAGAAATTTACAATATGGGAGCCAGTACGTCAGCAGCATTGCGTTTGTCTCTGCAGAAACGTGGAGATAAATCACATCGATCGGAAGGAGGTTCTAGTAGCTCAAGACTAAGACGTGAAAAGTATTCCTTACGCAATAATGAGGCCCAGTCGCGTGCAGAGCGTCCAGTTCCCAAAAGACGTGGCAAATGTTTAGACAGTGAAAGTAGTCATTCCAGTACCTCTTCGTCTACCACAACCTCGTCCAGTTCTTCTACTACCACATCATCAACGAATTCTTCATCCAGTTCAAGTGATGAAGATTATGTCACCAGTACGTCTCAAAGAAGAAGAGAGGGAGGAGGTACACGTAAACGGTCTAAAGTTAGGAAAACCAAAAAACGCAAGGCCAGCAACCGTAGCAATAGAAGAACTACTAAACGTGACTCCAGAAAGCGAAAGAAACCAAACAATGATTATTGCAGTGATAGTGAAGATGAGGATGATGATAACGGTCATATGGGTAAAAACTTTGCTCTTGTGATGGCAATAAATGAGCGTCAAAAGAGGCAAAATCAAAAAAAGTCTAGCAAATCTCAAGAGAAGGACGAGGATGAAAGTGATGGAAATTCATGGTCGAAGACAGATATGGGAGTTTTTGAACCACAAATGGCAGAACGAGCGCTACGAGTGCAACAAGCTAAAATTACCCAGAGTAGAGAACGTAAAAGGCGCCATAAAATTTCCACACAAGAAAAGAAAGACAAAGAAGATCGTCGAAGTAATCGAAAACGTCAAAAATTTGATACTGAAACACCAAAAACTAGCGGAAAAAATAACTTAGATGGAACGTCTAGTGATGAAAGTGATAATATAAATCTAATACAGTTGAAAACAAAACTTACCGGACAAGAACAGCATAAAGAAATGAATACTGAGGAAACAGATAGAACTCATATAGCTAAAGCGGCAGTTGAAACGACTACGAACAATGAAACTAATGAACAGGATAATATAGTGACAACTATAGCTTCAGATTTTTCAACCATTCCTACAAGTATAACTACAGTCGCAAATACAGATACCATAATAGAAACGTCAGCTAACACTGCGGTAGATGAGGGCACCACAGCCGGTGAGACAATTACAAATGACATGGTCGAATCGAGGACATCTCAACAACAAAATGATTTACTTCATTTCTTTGAGGAATCCAATGATAACAATCACAATTATCATATTGATGAAGGCCAACGCCATGATGACGACGATCATGATCTTGATAGTAATAGTATTTACCACAATGAGCAACAAATTTTACCTTCGACCTCTTCGTTAGAGAATTATCATGAAAACCATCACGATAATGTCCATAATGTGGATGATAACAACGGATTGCATAACAACGATAACGTTGAAGATGATGAAGAAACTTTAAGCAACACTCCCACAAATATTAATCTAAACGAATCGAATGTATTTGCCGACGGTACCAGTATGAGTACTACTACAACCGATACAATACTACACGAAGCTGCCGAACAAATTTCTTCAGCTGCTGTTAATTTTTATAATCCTCAACAGACCTTTAATACTGCCGATTTTGCCGATGAGAACTCAACAAATAGCAGCAGTTCGGATAGTTCGATATCATCTACGACTACTAGTCTATCGAGTAGTAGCAATAGCAGTAGCAGCAATGCAAACAGTTATTTAAATTATGAACATTAATGAATGAAGTGAGTATGAAATATATTTAATAATTAAAGTTTTCAGGTTTAAGGTAGATAGATAGGTAGGTATATGATAGATAGATAGATAGATAGATAGATAGAGATAGATAGATAGATAGATAGATAGATAGATAGATAGATAGATAGATAGATAGATAGTAGATAGATAGATAGGCTAGATAGATAGATAGATAGATGATAGATAGATAGATAGATAGATAGATAGATAGATAGATAGATAGATAGATAGAGATAGATAGATAGATAGATAGATAGATAGATAGATAGATAGATAGATAGTAGATAGATAGATAGATAGATAGAGATAGATAGATAGATAGATAGATAGATAGATAGATAGATATATAGACTAGATAGATAGATAGAATAGATAGCTAGATAGATAGATAGATAGATAGATAGATAGATAGATAGATAGATAGATAGATAGATAGATAGATAGATAGATAGATAGATAGATAGATAGATAGATAGAAGATAGATAGATAGATAGATAGATAGATAGAATAGATAGATAGATAGATAGATAGATAGATAGATAGATAGATAGATAGATAGATAGATAGATAGATAGATAGATAGATAGATAGATAGATAGATAGATAGATAGATAGATAGATAGATAGATAGATAGATAGATAGATAGATAGATAGATAGATAGATAGATAGATAGATAGATAGATAGATAGATAGAAGATAGATAGATAGATAGATAGATAGATAGATAGATAGATAGATAGTAGATAGATAGATAGATAGATAGATAGATAGATAGATAGATAGATAGATAAGATAGATAGATAATAGATAGCTAGATAGATAGATAGATAGATAGATAGATAGATAGATAGATAGATAGATAGATAGATAGATAGATAGATAGATAGATAGATAGATAGATAGATAGATAGATAGATAGATAGATAGATAGATAGCTAGATAGATAGATAGATAGATAGATAGATAGATAGATAGATAGATAGATAGATAGATAGATAGATAGATAGATAGATAGATAGATAGATAGATAGATAGATAGATAGATAGATAGATAGATAGATAGATAGATAGATAGATAGATAGATAGCTAGATAGATAGATAGATAGATAGATAGATAGATAGATAGATAGATAGATAGATAGATAGATAGATAGATAGATAGATAGATAGATAGATAGATAGATAGAGGTAGGTAGGTAGGTAGGTCGGTAGGTAGGTAGGTAGGTAGGTAGGTAGATGATAGATAGAAAAATTCTTTATGATACTTTTAGGTCTCTCTTTAACAATAAATATCTATAATTAAAAATATTAATCTCTACTTTTTCTCCTTACAGCTTAAATTTTTCCTTGAATAATAAACAAAAAACTATATATTTCTGCTGCAAATCCTTTCAAAACAACATATGAAATCAAATAGCATAAAATCCACAAAATATGTCGTCTCATTTCCAATTTGTTTTTAAATTATTAATAAAAAAACAATATACCTAACATTATGCATAATTAATAAAATAAATATTGAAACAAAACAAAAATAAAATCATACAAATTATAAAAAAAAAAAAAATTCTACCACTATCCTATTACAAAAACTTCAATAGTTTTAATTATTAAAAAAAAACAAAACCACAAATTATTAGTTTAATTTTTAAGATTTAATATTTAGTTACTATTTACATTTACAAAAAAAAAAAAAACAACAGCAAAATAAGAAAACAAAAAAAAAGTTAAAATACCGAATTGCATATTTAAGAATTAAGTTTAAAAAAAATATCTAAAATAAAATTATAAAATTACTACTTATTATTAATAAAAAATTTTTTTTGTATACATTCTTTTGCAAATACACAAAAATTAATAAATGGTATGTTTAAGTAATTCACAATAGATTCTATAAAAATTTTCAAATATCTGAAAAAAATATATAAAATTAAAAAAAAACCCTAAAATAAAATATTCAATAAATATTTGTTAAAATAAAAGTTCACACAAACATATATTGTAAGCAAAATCGTATTCAAAGTTTTTTCATGTAAATATTTTAAATTATTTTCTAAATTCTGCTGTTTTAATTTAAATTTAAAATACATTGTCATCATTTAATTATACATACTTCTTATATAACGAGTTATAAAAGAAAAGTAAGAAAAACAATTCACAACTCCTTCTCTCTATTAACACTCAGAACATTTTTTTTCATACTGTCTTGTTTGTGTTTATATATAATATTTAAAAATATAGTAAATATTGTTCATTTATTGTTTCCAGGGGCTTTTTTTAATTTAGATCCAAATACAAATTTTATAAGCGATATTTTACAAAAATGAATTTTAAATTATAGCAACAACTTACAAGTAAAATCTATAATAAAAAAACAGAGTAAAATACATCAAAAATAAATGTATTCAAGCTATAAAAATGTACTGCAAGTGTGTTTTATTTATGTTAAAAGTTCTCAACAGACGAAAGGTAAACTTCCAAAGCAAATTGATTAATTTCTGGAACTTGATTGGATTTTAAAATGTCAGTCCTTCCTTGTATTTGTAACTTGAAAACACTATGGAGCCTAAAACTTCTCTTTAATTCTTAAATATCAAAAACAGTTTGTGTTACATTAAAAATAATTACCTTATATACAACTTTTTCTGTTAATAAAAACATAAAAATTAAAATCTGTATGTTAGTATATACTCCACATAAGCTTTCATATAAGTAAATTGCCAATTTATAGATACTTAACTTGCTGAACAATATTTACAGACATAAAACCATACAACCACACTGGCTTTATGTCTTCTGCCCAAAAAACAAAAAAAAAAAAAAAAAAATACTAACACTTACAACATACTTACATACAGACAAACATAACTATTAAAATCCGCTTAACAATTTCCGTTATATGTTCTAGTTCTCTTATTTTTATCACTTTTTCTATTCGTACTCGTATTTGTTTAAGTGTGTCTTAATACACAACTATTACAAACACTTATACACATTAACAAATAAACATATTGTTATAATTACCAATTAACTTTAATATACATCTATTTATGTTTGTCTATGTATGAGTGTTTGAATCCTATACATTTGTATTAATATTGAACGAGAGAGCGAGCTGTAATTATGAAAGGAAATCCTTTTTGTGTTTGCCAAAAATTACCCAAAAAGTAAGTAACAAATTTTAGTCGGTCTAGACCGAACAAAGAATTAGATGTATCAGTAATTTTTCGTTAATAATATTTCAGTTCTATTCAGTTCAAGTTCAGTTCTAGTTCAGTTCTAGTTCAGTTCTAGTTCAGTTCTAGTTCAGTTCTAGTTCAGTTCTAGTTCAGTTCTAGTTCAGTTCTAGTTCAGTTCTAGTTCAGTTCTAGTTCAGTTCTAGTTCAGTTCTAGTTCAGTTCTAGTTCAGTTCTAGTTCAGTTCTAGTTCAGTTCTAGTTCAGTTCTAGTTCAGTTCTAGTTCAGTTCTAGTTCAGTTCTAGTTCAGTTCTAGTTCAGTTCTAGTTCAGTTCTAGTTCAGTTCTAGTTCAGTTCTAGTTCAGTTCTAGTTCAGTTCTAGTTCAGTTCTAGTTCAGTTCTAGTTCAGTTCTAGTTCAGTTCTAGTTCAGTTCTAGTTCAGTTCTAGTTCAGTTCTAGTTCAGTTCTAGTTCAGTTCTAGTTCAGTTCTAGTTCAGTTCTAGTTCAGTTCGTTCAGTTCTAGTTCAGTTCTAGTTCAGTTCTAGTTCAGTTCTAGTTCAGTTCTAGTTCAGTTCTAGTTCAGTTCTAGTTCAGTTCTAGTTCAGTTCTAGTTCAGTTCTAGTTCAGTTCTAGTTCAGTTCTAGTTCAGTTCTAGTCAGTTCTAGTTCAGTTCTAGTTCAGTTCTAGTTCAGTTCTAGTTCAGTTCTAGTTCAGTTCTAGTTCAAGTTCAAGTTCAGTTCTAGTTCAGTTCTAGTTCAGTTCTAGTTCAGTTCTAGTTCAGTTCTAGTTCAGTTCTAGTTCAGTTCTCGTCTCAGTTCTAGTTCAGTTCTAGTTACGTTCTAGTTCAGTTCTAGTCAGTTCTAGTTCAGTTCTAAGTTCAGTTCTAGTTCAGTTCTAGTTCAGTTCTAGTTCAGTTCTAGTTCAGTTCTAGTTCAGTTCTAGTTCAGTTCTATGTTCAGTTCTAGTTCAGTTCTAGTTCAGGTTCTAGTCAGTTCTAGTTCAGTTCTAGTTCAGTTCTAGTTCAGTTCTAGTTCAGTTCTAGTTCAGTTCTAGTTCAGTTCTAGTTCAGTTTAGTTCAGTTCTGTTCAGTTCTAGTTCAGTTCTAGTTCATTCTAGTTCAGTTATAGTTCAGTTCTAGTTCAGTTCTAGTTCAGTTCTAGTTCAGTTCTAGTCAGTTCTAGTTCAGTTCTAGTTCAGTTCTAGTTCAGTCTAGTTCAGTTCTAGTTCAGTTCTAGTTCAGTTCTAGTTCAGTTCTAGTTCAGTTTCGTTCAGTTCTAGTTCAGTTCTAGTTCAGTTCTAGTTCAGTTCTAGTTCAGTTCTAGTCAGTTCTAGTTCAGTTCTAGTTCAGTTCTAGTTCAGTTCTAGTTCAGTTCTAGTTCAGTTTCTAGTTCAGTTCTAGTTCAGTTAGTTCTAGTTCAGTTCTAGTTCAGTTCTAGTTCAGTTCTAGTCAGTTCTAGTTCAGTTCTAGTTCAGTTCTAGTTCAGTTCTAGTTCAAGTTCAAGTTCAAGTTCAGTTCTAGTTCAGTTCTAGTTCAGTTCTATTTCAGTCTAGTTCAGTTCTAGTTCAGTTCTAGTTCACTTCTAGTTCAGTTCTAGTTCAGTTCTAGTTCAGTTCTAGTTCAGTTCTAGTTCAGTTCTAGTTCAGTTCTAGTTCAGTTCTTGTTCAGTTCTAGTTCAGTTCTAGTTCAGTTCTAGTTCTAGTTCAGTTCTAGTTCAGCAGGAAATTATCTTTCCAACGAGCTATAAAAAATTAAAATCGAGTTAGAAATAATAAAGTTATTAGCAGTTTATTATCCCATACATTTAACGATAACTAACTACTGATTTTTTGTATTAAATATAAAGTATACGACACCTCTTTAATTTCATAACGATTATTATTAGCATACTTTGGGGAGGATGCTTATATACTCACTACATGTACGTATGTTGAATATTTAATTAAAGCACTCGTGTAAAGTATACGCTTGAGTAATTAGTTTAATAAAATAAGCGTAACGTATTAAATAGTAGGTACGAGTGTAATGAAGTTGTTTTTTTAATCACTGATAAATTACTTAAAAAAATTATATAATTATAAATAAAAGACAATTGTTTGCTTGTAAACAAAAAAACTAAATAAAATATTTTTAAAATACTTTAATAAATTCAATTTAAAATGTTGTCTACTACAAAGTTTATCCAATATTGCCAGTGTAAGGTGTACAAATAACACAATAGCATTAACTAAATATTTTGGTAGTTGTTGTTTTCCATTTTTTTTCTTGAATTTGTATCCCGCATAGCTGTAATTAAACTCATGTTAAGTTAAGCAGATTTTAACAAACATTCACAAATAAACATTGACACACACGGATACATAAATACATATAAATATATATAACCATATGTTTGTTAACGCTTTTTTCACACATGTGGTCATATGCAACCACAGCGTCATTATCAAGCTCAAGGACATTTTGTTGAACAGTTATAATTTGTAAAATACTAATATATACTTACAGGATATGTATTTACTTGGTGTGTGTGTATGTAATTTACTATGAAAAGAATAGTAAATAACCCACAATAAATTCATCAATTAATAAATTGTGTTTTATATCTTTATATTTATGTAACTAATTAATATTGCATCAATATGTGTGTATATTGTTACAACAATTACTAAATAGTTTTCAATAATGGGCGGCTTAATTAATATATCACAACTATTTAACTAGTATACAGCCAATTAAGGGGATCAACTTAAATTGATGAGGAAAGTAATAAAAATAGAACCAGGAATCAGTTATTTATTAAAGTAGAGGGCGGTTCAAATATAGAGTAGTATAAAAGAACGTAACTGTTTATTTGATTGTGTGGTTATCGGTTACCATATCAAAAGGTCTGGACTGTGGGATAATGGGATTCTTTTTAAAACTGAAATCGACTTTAAATAAAGTTGATTTTAAGCACTATAAAGCTGATTTTACCCCTTCTGGCGTCTTTACAATCGCTAATTGCAGAAAAAAATAAATCACATTTTTTTTAACCATTATTTTTATTGTTTTTATGTGTATGTATTTATACACTTGGACATGTTTCCTTCTTTCCATGTATTGTGATGCTTGAATAGGTGTTGCAATTCCAGGATTAATAATAACAAAAGTTATATTATTAAAAGTTATTACTCTTTTTCAGTAT